GGCCAGGAGGACAGGGAGTTGGGAAAATTGCCTCCAAGAGGCCAACATCGAGTCTCACCCGCTCCACCCTCCAGTTGGTGGCTCAGAAAGATTAATGGTGCTGCACGGACCGGTCACTCTGAGATAAAGGGCATCGATCTTGCGGCTGACAGCCCTCCTCCATCAGGGCTGCAGGGAAACTTTCACAGCTGATAAATGAGCCGTCTCTGAAGCCTCCGCAGCGGGCTCCCCAAAGTCTGGGTTGCTGGGGCTAGCGTGGCGGTACAGCGGTTCTGCCACCAACGGCAATGCCAGCATTCCAGACCGGAGCACCTGTCTGAGTCCCAGCTGCTCCACTTCCAATCCAGCTCCCTGCTGAAGCACCTGAGAAGGCACTAGATGATGACTCAAATATAACGAATTGGACCCCTGTCATCTATGTGGGAGTCGTAGGTGGAGTTCCTGGCTTCTGGCTTTGGCCTGGCCCAGCCCTGGCTGTTGTGGCCATTTAAGGGATGAATCAGTGGGATGAAAGTCTCTCCATCTCTATCTGTCTCTCCTCCCACTCCCCACTCCCATGCTTTGTCTTTCAAAGAAATTGTATTAGAAAAAAAAAACCTCTCTATTGTGTCCTCATTTATTCTTCAAGGACATCTAGCTTGATGCCAGACAGAGCAGTCAGGGAGGCTGGAGCGGGGCTGGGAGGGGCAGCTTCCCTGACTCCCTGTTAGCAGAGCCATGTGCACAGGGAACATCATCAGCATCCCTGCACACAATCAGTGTCCAGACAAAGCAGACACTAGCAGACAAAAAGATGTGGCCTCTTGCACCCAAGACGGCAAAGTCCAAGCAAGTCCACCGCCACCTGGCACTCAGGCAACCCGGGAGCACCGACTGTGGCCAACACTGCAAACTCCCGGCCAACGCCTTTCTCCCCTTTCTCCCCAGCTGACCTCTGGGTTTGCTGGCAGCAACAAGACGTGACTAGTTCACAGCACTCTCTGCCTCACCTCGTTCGCAGCCGGGCACTGCGAGCACCACGTGTGGCTCTGGAAAGGGTTTGTTTTCCTGGGCGCTGCTGCCCTCCCCTCCTTCCTTCCCAGGCCTATTTTGCAGCATCTACCTTGCAACACACTAAGGAAGAAGAGCAGAAAGACACCAGCGGCGTCGGGGAAGTGCCGCGCCAGCTCTGGCAAGCTTGCCTCTGGTCCTGTGGCCCTGTGAGCAGAGGAACCCAGGCCGTGACGAAGCCACTGCAGTCACTGTGCTGCCACGCGGCACCAAACACAGCACTGCGTGATGGAGTCCGAGTTCTTAGTGACTCTGAGAATTTGAGTGAGTTGTGTAATTGCTCCTGAGCCTCAGTTTCCCCACCTGTATGAAGAGAATGATGTGAATAATGATCGCGCCCACTAGGAAATCACCCATTAGGCACAGGCACACGTGGCGTGAGTGGCCCTTGTATACAGCAGGTAGAGACCCGGTGCACACAGCGCCTGCCTCAGCTATCTCACGGGACTTCTGTGACTATCAGATGGGGGCACCCTGGAGACTTCATGCACACGCTGGCTACAGCCCCCATTCCCCGGAGCAAACAGAGTCAAAGCCAGGAGGAAACCCTGCTCCCGGGGCAGGAAGTAAACTCACAAGCCATACCCCACATCCCCACGTGGACAGGAGGAACCTTAATGCCGCTGTGCCAGTCAAAACAAGCCACGCTTGGGTGTAGAGGTGACACCAGTCCTTCTGTACAGCTTCGCTCGGGGTGTCCTGCAACAGTGAGAGGTGCACTGCTGGTCCAGACACGACCCTGGGACACAGATGTCATCCTCTGTGTGGTGTTCACCTCCCCTCTGGGCCCACCCAGCACTGGGGCTGCAGGCAGACAGCACCTCACTCAGTGCTGAGCGCCACCCCGGGAGACCCAGCCTCCCTCTCACTGGAAGCTGCCTCTGCTGGACCAGGCCTGTCTGCCAAGGCCACAAGTTCAGGACCCGACTCCCATTCATCTTCCCCAGCAGCTCAGAGAGCAGGTGCATCAGCTGTAGACCATCCGTGAGGAGCCTGCCTCACGGCCGTGAGACCACCTTCCCCACACTCAGGTTTCTAATGCTCCCCATCTGGACGCCATGCCGACCTGTCTGTGGCCATTCTAACAAACAGTCCTTCTCTCCCTCCCTCTCTGCATCTTCTCTGGCTCTGTGTGCGTGCCTCACTCTATGTATCTTTCTGTTCTACCTCCTTCTCTTCCTGTCCGTGTGTGCCTCAGTCTCTCCCATGCTGTTTCTTGCTGTTTGTGACTCCCACACCCTTTGCCCCAGGTGTCTGTGTGTCTGTCTGCTCTCCCCTATGATTCTCTCCTTCCCCTGCCCCGTACCATACCTGCTCGGGTGTGTGACGGTGTCCCTTCTGCCACCGTCTCCTCTGCACTCACCAGGACCTCTGCTCGGCTGGCACTGCCATCTCGGGTCCCCAGAAGGGGTCAACTGTTGAATACACTGAGATGGGAGCATGACTGATCCCCAGCGCTGGAAAAGACAGTGAGGTCTGCCCCTAGAGGCAGCCGGGACCTGGGAAAGGGAAGGGAAGAGGTCTAGAGCCGGCTGCCAAGCCCCTGTCAAGCTCTTCATCCCACAGAGTCTGGGGGTAAGCGATTACACACACACATACAACATGGTGATCAAAATCTTCCCACAGAAGGTGAGGGTTCAGAACTCAGCTGCCCTGTGTCTTTCAGCCTCCCTGAGCCTCACATCTGAGGCAAATGGAAGCAAGAACAGGACCTGGCAAATAGAGCAAGTGCCCAAGATGAGGAACCAGAGACGGAGAAGGATGCTGTGCAGGTCACACAGCTCTCAGCAAAGCCTCCTTCTGCTCTGGGCCAATGGAGGATCCGACACTCGAGGAGGCAAGTCGGGGCCTCTGGCAGCCCTAGCAGCCCAGAGCAGCTTTGAAACCAGAAAGACCACAGGGTATGCCCATCAGAGACCACCCCTCCCTTGACAGGACCCCCAGAAGGGCTCTGTCCCACCCCAAAAAGGGCCATCTGGTGCAGGCTGGCAGATCAGTCCAGTGGCCCTGGAACACCCCCTGAGATAATGGGGGACCTGGTTCTGCATCATAGACTAACAGGAAACGTTTGAGCTGCCTATAGACTAGAAAAACGACCCCTTAGAAACTTCCCAAGAACAACAGTCAGCTGCCTCTCCCCAGCCCCTAGCCTGTCTCCCTGGGTACAAGTGCAAGGGCTGCATTAGGGGTCCTAAAACCTCAGGCAGGAGGCCCTCCCTGTGGGCACGGACCCCGGAGCATCACAGGGAAGCTGCCTGTGAAGACAGAGATGGACCGGAGTGAGCAGACAGCTCAGGGAAAACCCACAAAGCAGACACAGCAACAGCCTTATTAAAGTGAAATAGCTGGTTAGAGTTGAGACCTATTTGTAGTGTGTAGAGGTGTAAGTTGATAGAAAAACTAGTAGATACAATTTGATTGTGGAACTTCTCCTGGGTATGGAGAAGCCAGGCCAGGAGAGGGGCTGGAGGGAGGGCTGAGCCCCTCTGAGCCCCCGTGCCTCTCTGGGGTCCTCTCGGAGGCAAGGCAAAGCCCTGAGCACATCCCCGGCCTGGCCCTGGGCTCTGCCTCCCTGCCCACCCTTGAGACCAAACCTTGGGCCCTCTCAGCTCTGGAATGTACCCCCAGGGTACAGCCCTCCACCATGTGAGGATGACTGGGCAAGCAGCCTCAGGACAAGGAAGGGACTTGCATCTCCCCACAGGAGAGTGTTCGTGAACCCCTGTGATCCTGTGAGCCGGGCAGAGCACTGTCAGCACCTGCCTTTAGGTGTGGTGGGGATCAGCTGGCATGGAAGTGCCGAGCACAGGGTCTGCACCAGTGAGCGCCCAGGCAATGCTAGCAAGCACAGACATGAATGCTGCCTGGGCCTGCTCAGGCTGATTCCACACCCAGCGGTGGGTCAAAAGAGCTCGTGTCCCTGCTGCTTAGTTAGGACAAACCCCCAGATAAACAGACTCACCTCCCGGGTCTCTTCCATGCCCTGGAGAAACAAACTCCTGCCTGCCCAGTCAGAAGGCTGTGAGGCTCTCATCCTGGTGAGCGGTGTACCTGCTGTGTGGATGCAAAGGGCGAGGGGCACTGGTCGCCTGCCCCCCAGCCCGTGCAGGGGGGACAAGCACAGCCTTCGGCTGAGGCCAGGATGCAGGGAGAAGAGGTGAGGGAAAGGAAGGCGCCACCATCACAACCCGATTCCCGTCCCTTCCTTCTCCGCACACACGTCCTGTGTGCCAACCGAGCGCAGGGCACCAGGCATGCAGGCGGGCAGGCGGGGCCCTTCGGTGCTCAAACTGCACTTGCCCAAATCTCGGAGGCATCTGGCCAGGAGACTCCGCACTCGTGCCTCGGACCTCTCAGGCTTGAAGACAATACTGGCCCCACTGTGCTGTCCGTCTGTCACCCAGAACAGGACGGTGCCACTGACAGCTCTGGTCTCTGAACAGGAGGCTTTGAGAAGTCACAGCGGGGCCAAGCACCCAGGCTCGCTTCATAAGAGGTGCGCTGCCTGCACGGTGATGCCGAGCAAAGCTGGCCAGCTTTGCCTCCAGATCCGACCCCCAGTGAGTCTCAGGGATCTCCCGATCACCACCGGGAGACTCTCCTCTCTGGGCCTCACTGAAGCAGGTCTTCGTGACTCTGGCACTGTGCTGTGGCCAGGTGATGGAAACCAAAGAAGCCAGGCCCTGTTCAAAAGATCTTGTGTGTTTTTTTTTAATTTTTAAATTTTGAAAGATTTAATTATTTGAAGGCAGAGTGACAGACACAGAGGGAGAGACTGAGATGGAGAGATCTTCCATCTACTGCTTCACTTAGCAGATGGCCACAACAGCTAAGTTTGGGCCTGCCTGAAGCCAGGAGCCAGGAACTCCATCCTGGTCTCCTATGTGGTGGCAGAGGTTCAAGCACTTGGGCCATCCTCTGCTGCTTTCCCAGGTGCATTAGTGTGAAGATGGAGCAGAGGCAGAGAAGCCAGGACATCACCCAGCGCTCAGGTGGGATGCCAGCATCGCAGGCAGTGGCTTAACCTGCTGAGACACAACGCCGGCCTCATGTTCAACAGAGCTTTAAGAGAACAATCCAAAGACTGGAAGCCATGCAGGAGTAAGTCTTTTTCACATCTGAGAGAAAATGGAGAGGCTTGACTACAGAAATGAAATGCTGAGCACGGTTCACACAGTACAGCTTTTATTAAAATTAAACATAAAGTACGGGAGACTAGAACATGATTCCTGTAACAACAGTACATTGGAGGAAATGTCTCTTCAGCTATGGCTGCAACTCATAGGCACGTGGCAAGTGTGCTTGTACAAGACGTGGTCCCGACCACCCATGCAGAGCACCCCAGATCAGGGAGCTCCCCTGTGCGCCGTGCTGTACAGGGTGCCAGCGCTCAAGTCCACCTGCCCCTGATAAGCACAGGGACAGCACCCATGCAGTCACACACAGTCTGAGTCTTGAGTGTTCTTACAGAGAAAATATTTTACATGTCATATACAAATGGAACAATAAGTTCAACCAAGCTCTTTATTGCCACTGAAAGGGGCAGGGGATAATTTACTATCTCATAATCCAAGGCAAGAACACAGCACCAGGGCCACTTGTTCCCGCAAATGCCACAGTGCCACATCCATGAGTTACTGAGTCCATGACAAAGGCTGTGCAGGGGCTGCGAGGCTGTGATTAGCCACTATGGAAGACGCTGCTTCCTTTCCCAGATGTGGGCAGTGCTGCTGGCTTGCCTGCGTGGTCAGTAGCTACACAGCACAGCTGAACATGAGGGGCTCAGGACTGTACATAGTGCAAACAAGGAAAAAAAAAATACATTCCAACCTCCTGCTTCTCCAAGCAAACAGAGCCTTAAAAATTCCAGTGGATTGGAACCGTGCTGGCAGCCTCTCAACGTGAACTAAGTGCGTGCAAATGGGGAGCATGGAGGCGATCTAAATGGCACCTGTTCCAACAATGACAAAAAAAGGAAAAACCATGAGGCTAATGGCAGATAAACACACAACACAGAGCCTGGAGTGTAGACATAGAGTTTAAACACAGGGAAGCATTCGCAGAGCACGCATTTAACACATTCTTACCAGGGATTGTGAGGAGTGACCCGTCTTTTAAAGTCCAAAAAGGACACGACTTGGCAGCAAAGGCCACAGCTACTGGCAGCTGAAGATCGAGGGGGAAGAAGTAAAGGAAGAATGGTCTGCCGAGCCTAGGACGCTCTGGGGCAGACACTGGAGGGCCAGCCTTCTCTGCCACAGTGTGCCAGGCACAGTGCCAGGTAGCAAGAGGCACCACAAGATGGGCCAACCCAACCTCACGCCTGCATAAAGCAGACTCAAAAAAAAAAAAAAATAGACAAGCAATGTAATGGGTAAACGCTGAGTCAACCTTGACCTTAGCCCTTAGCAATTCAAGAAACACCAGTGGCCACATTTTTTAAATTCAGCAGTCTCCCTTGAATATAGTACAGAACAGGAGACCCATCTACCTGGAGCTCCAGAAAAATCTGTTTGGGGAAAGTGAGAAAAAGGAAGATGGCTCCAAGGCATAGGCTTTGCTTTGAGAGTGAACAACAGAGAGAAGACAACATTGCATATTGTGGACAATAAAAAGTGATTCAGAGATCTCGGAAAATTATCTTATAAAAAATATCTACATTAAAATTTTAGCCTGAAAGCTATAGCTTCAATTTTATAAAAAAGCAATCTTGGAAAGGATCTGGCTCAGAAACATACAAACATTACACAGCAGATATCAAAGTAAGACAGCTCAAAAAGCATCTTAGGGGATATTGCAACTGGCTTGTCATGAAATAGAATTAAGTATTCTTATTGCATAGCAGAAAGTGAGGTCATTGTCATTTGCATAACACTGCATCTTGTTAGATGGAGAGATGCCACTGGGTACTTAGGAGAAGGAACTCTGGAGTTCAGAATCTGATTTCTGCATTGTTCAAATCAGTGTCCAAGTGGCGTCTAAGCTGCTTCTAACCTTGGGCCTCAACTCCCTTTCAGCACTGCCATCAAATTTCAGATACGCCACGGGCAGAGCCACAGTCACAATCAAGCAGTGGCCGCCCTGAGCGGCCAGCAGAGGCCTGAGAACAAGTCTGCTGCGTCCAGGGTGGAGAGAGAGTGGCACCGGGTGATGAGGAGGCAGCAGCAGTTTTGGGGTGGCCGCTGTAGGCAACTAGAGCAGATTGGCTTTTGGGTAAGGAGGCTCCCGCGTTCTGGTGCCCTCAAGGAAGGACGCGGGGACGAAATGAACGTGGCCTCCGCAGCACCAGCAGCAGAGGCAGGGCTTCCCAGGAAGGGAGCACGAGTGGGAGGGAGGACAGAAACCCAGAAGCAAAAAACCCGAGTGGGCAGCTCACAGGGGAGGCCCTCTCTGGGAAGTCGGCCCAGGACACACAACCTCCTCCACGGAAGCACGAAAGCCTGGCTCCTCGGAGGTGGGGGCAGGGATGAGGATCCGACCTCTCATCAGAGCCCAATCCCCAACCTCCTCCCACCACACTGCATGCCCACCACGACGTCTGCGATGAAAGGCTCATTCCATCAGCAGACAGCCAGACAGGGCTCGAGAACCAGTCTCACCCCAGCACCAGGAAAGAGCAGAGCACCCAGCCTCAACATGCCAGGGTTCCTTCAGGGACACTTCTTCGGGGTCCACCAGATCTGGATGCTTTAGCCTCTCCCCAAGGCTACGAACACCTCTGAGTGCCTTGGTGCTCTCCAAATGTCCTACCGAACTGACATCTGCTTAACACCAGAGAGAGGAGTTTGGTCTGCAGGATAATTGCACATTTAGGGCACAGCACACAGGAAACACACAGAGCAGCCAGCCAGCCCAGGAGCTGTCCAGGTTTCTAACTGTAGGAGCTCATGGCGAGAAGTGCCACCGTCCCGTGCTCTCTGCTTGCGCAAAGCCTAGCTGTCAGAAGTCCCACGCAAACCGCGCCGCAGTCCCTGAGGCGTGAAACTGTTCTCCAGGACAGTGGCTCCGCACTCCTCATGGCAGAAATTCCAACACAGGCAATTTGCTAGTTTAGGAACAGTATAGCAAAAGACCTCACACCCTCAAATACCCTCTCCGGGTGCTTGAAGTTCTGTCATTAACAAGTTTTCCGTGTGAATTAGCACAGCTCTCACCAAGCTCCTCTCTTTACATGCAGGAATCCCCAGAAGAGCTCTCAAATCCAGAGCCCATCACCCCCCCTCCCCAACAGGAGAAGCCAGGGCGAGGGGAGGGTGTGTGCTGGCTACTGGGGAGAGAGGACGGACCCTGCAAGAGCGGGGGAGCCCAGGAGAGGAAGCCAAGGCTCTAGACCGGCTGGAGCGTCACCACTAGGGCTGAGGGCCAGCTCCGCCACCGCCCATCTGAACAACACGTGCTCCTGTCCACCTCCCTTTGAGTTTGGAGGGAGGTGACCTTTGACTTACCCTGCAAACCAGAACACTTCTGAGAACAAGACAGGGCCCTGTTAAGCATGGAGCCTGCACAGGAAGTGAACTGGGGACTGCGGAGCCCTGGAAGATCCAGAAGTAAGACCCCTCTCTCAGACCGCCACAGGCAGAGACCAAATCATTAGCACTTTGGCTTTCTGTTTTTGTGTTTCCTTTTCCTCTGTATTTTCTTCCTCCAGTGGGCACCCTGTGGCTTCTCTAAAGAGCTGCTTTTCCCACCTCAAGAGACACAAAACCTCCCAATCCTGCAGTCCACGACATCAAAGAGCGCAGGCCCCGGCATGAAGAATGGACAGTCCTTATCTTCTTCCTGGAGGACGGCCCAAGGAAGCAGGGCCAGCTGAGGCTCCTGCGAAAGCTGTCTGTCCCACGGTCGAGTGGAGAGAGGATGTGGCGCAGCTCCGAGAAGGCCCCAGCCCCTCTGCAGACAGAGTTGCGGTAGTCAAGTGCTGTACGCGGGCACGGTCGGAGGACACTCCTCCCGCCGGCCGGTCACTCTGGGATAGTCTCAGCCTGTCCAGCTGGGGCTCCGGGAGGCAGCAGCTTTAGTAGTCCTGGGTCCCCGGGGGACAACTCCAGGAGACAGGTTCCTGTGATTTGATTTTCAGCATCGCAAAAGGATCAGTAGTAAAGAAATCCAGTAGACTAGCACACATCTTCACCCCTCAACTGAGTGAAACACCACGACACACACACACACACACACACACGCACACGCACACACACACACATTCCAGGCTCCCTGGTGTCCCTGTAGAAACTCCAAAAATAAAATCCCAGAGATGCTTCCGGGCCTGCTGTCAGGAGCAGAGACCAAAGCACCTCAGGGGAACAGGAGGTGGTGGCCAGCGTCCACTCTGCCACGCTGCTAGGGATGACATCAGTGTGCCCAGTGGGAGAAGGGCAGCTGTCACAACCCCGCGGACCCTCCCCAGGAGTCCAATCCAGTCTTCGTGGCCCTGCAGTTGTGAGTCACAGGCAGAACTTGCTCCTTGCTCCACCTCCTGGCAGTGGGAGTTTGGGTCACAAGGACTTGTGAATCACAGCAACACCTAATATGAAAGGGGAGAGAGGTCATCAGTTGGCTGCAGTCTGGCTACCAGTGTGGATGCTGAATGTCTCCAGACGGCCTGTGTGTTAAAGGCCTGGTCCCCAGGGTGGTGCCAATGGGAGGAAGTGGAACCTTTAGGATGTAGGGCCTGGGGGGAGTCCTTGGGTCCCGGGGGACATCCCGCAGGAGGGTAGCTCTCATGGTGAGGCTGTTATCAAAGTGTGAGTTTGAGCCCTGCCCGTCTCAGCTGCCTGGCTTGCTACGCAACCTTCCTCTGCATACGCCTGACTATTGCCATCCACTGCCCCCAATGGGGCCACCCGATCCTAGACTCGAAACTCCAAAACTGTGAGCGAAATGACCATTTTCTCTTTGTAGAGTTAGCAGGCTCAGGTATGTTATTATAGGAATGGAATGCTGACCACTACAAAGTTCCAATGAGATCATGAATCCAAGACATCCCAACTCACAACCAAGGACAAGGGTATAATTTGTGTTCAAATCTGAAGGCTAAGTGGGCACAGGCTGCCAGCAGCAGGCCGTTTCCCACACTGATGGACAAGTTCTGGCAAAACATTTAAACACAGGAGCACAGTCCCTCAAGCACCCCGGTCTGGCGGTCTCATCCTGCATCATCACACAGAACTCATCTAGAATGACAGTGACACCCATTGCAACCCCTGGTGTTTCACTCAGCCTGTCAAGGCTCAGCAGCGCCACTGGAAGCCTAAAGACATATACACAGCCTTAAATCTGTGTCGCTTTAATGGAAGTCCTGAGTGATTTATTGTCTGCTTCTAGTAGATACTGGGATGGACTGTAAAGAATAGCAGACTGACTTCAGGAAAAGTGAATTGCAATCTTACCTACCTGTCGCTCCCCCTCTTCGTGGAGGAACGACACAGGACCCTGCGCTGTTCTTTCGTCTGCTCGGCCCTCCCCGGGTTTGCTGCTGGTTCTTCCCGGGTTGGCTGCCGACCCTTCCACCTCCGTGGAAGGGCGGTTCCCCCTGGCCACTTTCCCCACTTCCGCAGGGGAGCAGCACACCGCCGGCCGGCTCTCTCGGGGGCTGCACAGGTGTTCCTTCAGATAGATGTTCCCCTTAGATGTTCCTGGTGCATGCCGTCTCTCTCCTCCTTTATAGTCCTCTTCCACCAATCCCAACTCTGCTACCCACACGCCGAGTACGCTGCTCTCCTCCAATCAGGAGCAAGTCCTACAGTTTATTGGTTGAACTGGAAGCAGCTGTGTAGAAGCTGTTTCTCCCTTCTCAGCGCCATATTGTGGGAGAGCAGATGCATAGAATAAGTCTTAATTCCAGTAACTTAGTCTAGTCCGAGTTGCTCCCCACACCTACCCCACCAGTCACCAGCCTGCACTGCAGCCTCACACAGGCGCACTCATCTCCTTAGGCTTGGGGATGCTCCCAGTGCTAACTTTTCTACTTGGGCAAACACTGAAGACAGCTATGCACGGGTTACTGCTTCAGTCATGCACCTAACTGTGAAAATCCTTGTTTGGCAAAACTCACTGTAATGAACTGAGGCTATGTGGAAGATACTGTAAGTTGAGTCAGTCAACAGTCAACATCTTTTGTTCTTGCTGTCTTCTACTACAATATTTACCTATTTATTTTTAAAGTAGAGTGAAACTGAGAACAAGAGCAAGAGACAGAGATTTCCATCCACTGGTTCTCTCTCCAAATGGTCATGTAGCTGGGTTTGTGCCAGGCAGAATCCAGGAACCAGGAACCCTATCCTGGTCTCCCACGTGGGTGGCAGTGGCCCAAATACTTGGGCCTTCTATTGCCTTCCCGTGCACATTAACAGGAAGCATGATCAGAAGCAGAGCAGTCAGGACTCCAACATGAGATACCAGCATTGCACACTGTAGCTTAACCCACTGTACCACAACACTGGCCCCTGACCTCTACTACAGACACTAAAGCGTTTCAAGCTCAGCTTCCCACACTACCTTGCAGCTAAAAGTGGCATGTGACCCATCTTGGCCAATCAGATTTTAAATGTTGGTCTGCCAGTTGCCTTGTCCTTCTCCTGCCTGGAACGCTCAGCAGCAACTGACAGAGCCAGCAAATCAGAAGGCAGTACAAGTCTGCCTCTTCAACAGCAGTCGCAACCACCAGGCCAAACCTGCACTTCTTGCTGTCTGAGACAAACACATTCCCTCCCTTATTTCAAAAGCTCTGTAAGATTTTCTGGTACCTGCTGCTGAACAAAATCCTAACCAGCACCGTATCAACAGGCGAGATATTACTGCAGCCTTACTTGAACATATTCTCACAACTACAGAATTTTCAGGCTGAAGATAAGATTGGGGACATCACTCCATTACAGAGATTTTGCTAAAACATCCATTTCCTGATAATTCATGGATAAACATAGAGACAGACAAGCCTGGAGGCCAAGCAGAACCTGAATGCAGACCCAGATGTGCTGCCTGACCTTGACAACACCTGCCCTGTGCTTCTGGCATTTCTTTCACAATGTAGCATTCTTCTTTTGGTAAGTACCAGAAGTGGAATTATGTGTCACAGGCTCCCATATTGCTTTTTTATATAAGCCCTCTCTTTTGATTATAAAAGTAATATATTTTCATTATAGAACTCTGGAAAGTACAGAACACAAAGAAAACACTCTCCAGCCCTGTTGCATGAAGACAAAGTCACTGTTAGCGCCCTGGACTGCTTCCTGGCCTCTGCTGACAGCCACAGTCACTGCCAGAGTGGCGTCTGCTGCCAGGCAGGCATTGTGCTATGCGCTTGACACATTTTACCCCATTTCGTTCCCACAACAGCACTCAGAGGCTCTGTCTAATTTTGTTCTCATTTTACAAATGAGACATCCGAGGTTCAGCCAGATGGAAGGCCTGGCCCAGGGTCCCAGCACTTGTGGCAGAGATGGGATTCAAATTCAGGTATCACTGCAGCATGTACTTCCAGAAACAAAGATGGTAACTCCACCCCACCCCACCCTGCAACAACAGGACCAGGCGAACAAGCTCGCACGGCACACACACACCGCACCCTCCACTGCTACCCTACGTCCGTCACCACTATTTCCTCACTACAAATACATCCACTGCAAAAATACCCCACCGGTTACCCAACTCTTTCTCTCATGTTAGATGCGAAGTGGTTCTTGGGGTTTTCCTGTTATACCAATCTTTTCACTTTACAGCATTTCCTTCAGTCTTAGGATCATCCAGTCACTGCATTTGGGCTGGAACACAAAACCCCTTGTGTGCTTGTCTCCTTCCCACCTACTTGTGGAGGAGGCTGACGATGGAGACAGGGTGTGAAATACGCAGCAGTAGATGGGACTCTAACCACTCACCCGCAGCCCTCCCCCTCATGAAGGCACACAGGGAACCTGGAAGTGGGCAATCTCTCCCGTACCTCATCCTAGGGTGTGCCCTGCTCTCACTACAGCTTCCAAAAGCACATGATAGTGCCACCTTCACAACTAAGAGAACAGACGGCTCCAGGACCAAAATGATTCTCAAATCTTTTACATTTAGCCAAGAAAAATGTGATGGGGGGGGGGGGTGAGTTTAAAGAATGTGACACAAATGCCTTCAAGCTGCAGGCATGATCTTCCTCTGCCCTGAAATCCAAACGAGTCAGACTGAATGGAAGGAAGCCACTGGGGTCACTGTGTGGATGGCAAGAGACAATGATGGTAAAGTACTGGCGATCTTGACAGTGGCCGGCACGTTGTCTGTTCCTGATCCTAAATAATCAGCTATGAGGAGCCGGGCTACGTCATGGGTACATGTTTGCCTGTCTCTCCGGGGACCCCCAACTTCAGCTGCACCAACTCTGACACCACCGCCCCTTGCACCTCGCCTCACGCTCCCCAAGTGGCAACCTCCACGCCAGCCCCACATCTTGCTCCCGCCTCCCAGCCTCCTGCCTGGGATACCCGTCCCCCACTCCCGAGCTGGCCGAGTGCAAGCGGCACGGGCTCACAAGTCAGACCTGAGTCTGAATTCTGACTTTGCTACTGATTAGTGGTGTGGGCTCTAGGAAATTACTTGAACTCTCCAAACTTCAGTGTCATTATCTGTAAAATGGAAGGATGTAGTCCCACTCAGTCCGAGGGTTGCTGTGGAGGGTGAACCTGTACACACTGTACCTACACATGGTGCCACGGGACAGAGAGGGGCACCCGGGGAACAGTGGCTCTTTGTGGGGTAGGAATCCACCCCCAAAGCGTAACCTGACCCTGCCAGCTCTCATGGGTCTATCATGTGCTACAGCCTGGCTGGTACGTTCCATCTAGCATTCCAACTCCATTTCTGAGGAGCAAGAACTGTTATCTTATGCCATCCAAGAGCCTGGCACAAAATCAGCCAACAATGGCAAGAAAATTCTAAAGTCTCTGTGGCAACTCAGTTGCAAGAGGCTCCCTGGAACCCTCTGCTCAGGATCTGGAAGCCACACTCAGGTTCACAGAGAAGCCAAGTGCTAATTATCAGTATCTGTCTCTGGCACAGAATGAAGGAGAGGGGACCATGATCTGCCATCAGGGCCCGAGGGCCCGGCCCCCAGCAAAGCAGGCCCACAGCCTCCAGGGTGTGGGAGGCCCGGGCCGGGCTGGAGACGAAACACACTGACCTGCGTAGCTGCGCCCTGTGCTCATGTTGGTTGGCAGCAGCGTCCATCTGTCGGTGACCGGGTTGTAGTACTCCACCGAGGCCAGGTTGCAGGAGCCATCGTCTCCGCCGACCACATACAGCAGCCCATTCACTGCACAGACCCCTGGGAACCCGCAGAGGCCACCGATAAGCTCCGGAGAGCTCCGGGGAGTGCCAGCCCTGGGCGCCCCCTTCCTGGCCCACAGAGACAGGGCTTGCTTTACTGTGCTGTGGTGAAGAGCACGCTGACAATAGCCCCGGGCTCGGGGGGAACAGCCCTCTCTAGCAAGGTCACTTCTCCCGTGACTAACGGTCCCACAGACGTCCCCCACCCAAAGCACTGTGGTGCCTCTCTGCCAGAATGCCAGCCATGGGGCATGTAGCCCTCGTATGCCCAGCCCGAGCCTGGGAGCAGGACCCTCAGGACTTGAAGCACACAAGCACACTACCACTTCTCCGCATGGAAGCTCTGGCCTAACAGATCCCTGTGTTCCATCCGGACCATGTGGCGCTAACGGCTGTGTCTGAAACCCCTCTGTAGAGCCAGGATTTGAATTCACACCCAGTTCCTGGGATCAGTGTCCCCCTCCCGTCCTTACCATGGAGTGAGCTGGCTTTGGGGGCAAGGCCCCACAAAGCAGGGACTGAAAGCAGGCAGAATGTAAGTGGCTATAGCCCAGCACACTGCGTTATTTCAGAATTAGACGATGGGGCTGAAGATGCTCCACAAAGTAATTAGCAGCACGAGTGCAAAGCGAGCACTTTGATAGTGTGGAGAACAGGAGAGAGAGCCCCTCAGCCGGGCACTGGCAAAGACAAGACTGGGCCGAGGGCCAGGGTCCGGCCTGTGTCTGCACAGTCCCATGCTCAAGCGCCTAGCAACACCGACAAGCAGGGTGCTGATGGCAAGGAGGGCCTTTCTGGGTCTGTTGCGTCCGTGTGCGGTCAAAGGCAGTGCCCTTACCAGGGCAGAAGGTGTCCCTCTGCATGGAAGCAGGACAGCTGCGGCAGACTTGCTGGGCCCCAAGCTCTCCCTTCCTGTGTCTTGGAGCCCAGGACACAAGCTCAGCACCAGACCCCGACGGACCCCTCCTTGGCCTCCCCTGCGGGGAGACGCCCAAAGCGGAGGGGGAGAGAGCAGTGTGTTACCTGCATTGCGCCGGCACATGTTCATGTCCGCCACCTGCTTCCAGGTGTTTGTTCCGGGATCATAAACCTCAACACTCTTCCTCACCAGCGGCCCGTCGTGCCCACCTGTGGCATACAGCTGTCCGCTGAGCACCCCAACCCCTGAAAGGCAGAGCACAAGGTCCCAGCCTCAGGCGGCCTGGCGCCCGGTCCTGGACAGCCGGCACCAGCAGGGCGACGGACAGGGGAGTGCTGTTTGGCCTCCCTGGGCCCCAGGGTTCTCATGTGTAAGACAAACACAATGACAGACTGGCAACTGGCAAAGTTAGAAACATGAAAGCAAACGTGACCCTGCTACTGCTCAGACGAATTGCTGAATGCAATTTCTCCTCGGTGGCAAGATTCAGGTTGCTCCCCTTCCGCCTGCCTAGACTGCCCGCTTGTCCTACAGTGCCCTTCACTCATCTACTGACCCAGAGTTCAGAACCGAAGGGCCTCACAGCAGGAGGCTCAGGCGCTCTGGAGCCCAGCCTTCTTCCCGCCCACCTCCGGCGCCCCAGCCGGGGCCCCAGAGGAGCACGGCACTGACAGTTTTTAGTGAAATCTCAAAATCCTTTAAAACACGGCAAGGAGATAAATGCCATAACGAAGACCCGGGGAACTCCAAACGGCAAATGGCCCGGCAGCCCCTGGCCTGTCTCCAGCTCGCGCTGACCCTCCATGCCTCTGCTTTCCTATCCGTGAGGGCAACGAGTGGGCCAGACCAGCGGGTCCTGTGGGTGACCCACAGACAGGCTCTTTTGGAAAACACAGATTCCTGTGTCCTGGAGGCACTGGGTCAGGCACTGGAACAAGTTCCCTTGGGTGACTGGGACCTGCAGCCAGGTGCAGACCCAGGGACTGGATTCGTAAAATATAAACTTCATACACAAAGGATCACGTCTGCCTTGTCCTTGTCTGTCCCCCTCTGCCTGCTGGTGACAGTTTCTCAACAGACACTGTTGGGACAAGTACATGTAAAGCCCCTTGCAGTGATTATGCCTGCAAGTTACCACTTCCGAGCACTTTCCCTAAACGAACAGGAGATGGCGCTGTCGTAACAACAATGACCATGTAAACATGGCTTTTCCTAAAATTCAGGGTGTTTCAAAGCTGCCTGAGCTTCCCTCCCTCTGAGCTCAGCGGGAGTTAGCACCCCCTGACCCAGAGATGGTCTCTTTCTCGCCCTGACCATCTGCTGGGGTTGTCCAGGCCCCACTGAGGAAGCGAGCAGCCTTCTGGGCTGTCCTCCGTGGTCTCAAACAGCATCGTTCACACGGACCTAGAGGCACCTCAGAGGACCTCACACAGTCAGGGGCCAGGGCCTTGGGTCTGTGGGTGTTCAGCCACCAAAACACACCACAAGTACGCAGGATCCAAACTCGGGAGGTGAGACTGCCCCAAATGTCAGCAAAGTCAAACACTGAAGCGAGGCTGGCCCAAGCGCCTGAGACCCCCGCTCCGACAGTGATGTCAAAGTCCCTGTGCCTCGTAGGGCACCGCCAGGAGAGTCACCACCACCCAGGACCTCCAGCCAAGGGGAGAGGCAGGAGCAGGGTCTAGTGAAGTTCACCCGGCAATGACTACCTAAGCAGCTAGGCACACACAGCACGGGTGGCCTCCGAGGTCAGCACTTCCCAAGGGCGAACTGGAATAAGGCTCCACACTTCTGTCCCATCAGCCCTCAGCTTCTCCTAGGAGCAGCCACACTTCTCAGTGTGCGTCCTGCAGGCTGTAGTACTGCTGCGTCCTGGGAACCTGAAAACTCGCACTTATGCCTCAACCCAAAATACAGGATTTCCAGGAAGCATAAAAAAAAGATTTAACCGAGACTTTTGAAACTAAAATTACTGAATGAGTTTTATGAAGGGAAAAGAATCATGGGATTGTTTTACTACAACCCACAGGCCACACACCTGAGGAACTGGGGGCCAGAAAGGGGTGAAGGTCAAGGTCATGCAGCAAGTTAGAGCAGACCCAGCAGCAAAGCCCCAGCCTCCTGACTTCCAGGCCGTCCTCACGTCCAGGGAAGTGGCACCCCACACAGAAACGCTTGCTCCGTGCACAGTGCAGACTCAGGGAGGACACCAAGGAGCTGGAAATCATCTCCCACAGCATAACTCCTACGGAATGCTGGGAAGTGCTCAGGTATTCAGTGACATGAGAACACAAATCAATCTCCAAAAACACAGCCAAAGAAAAGCACGATGTTGTGGGGAAATCTCCCCCTTGTGGCTTCTCTCACCAGAAGTCACACGGCCTCCCCAGCAGGCCGAGCCTGGGAACCAGCGACCACCAGTGCAGAGCCAGGGTCTGGGGCCTCTGCCGGCCTCCCAGACCCCTTCCTTTGTGTGTCTGAGGTGATGGGGAGGAGAAAGCAGGGAAGCGGGGGCCGCATTCCACTTCCCACAAAGTCCTAGAGGACGTCGGAGTGCAGTTCTTCCTCCGAAAGCAGCAGCAGAGAGGCACTTGGGAAGCCGCTCTCTTCCCGCGCTGGGGACGGGGCTGACGTGAGGAAGCGCAGGGATGAGGGACGGAGGCTGATCCCCTCAGCATGGCTCTCGGCCCCAAGGCCGAGACAGGCAAGCCCACTCTGGCACCTGAGAGACTGGGATTCCGGTGTTAGTCCCACAGCTTCACGGCAATGGGACTCTAATAATTCGGGCTTGCAAAGACTGAATCCCAGCTGAGAGAGTCCTAGCTGTGCCGCTGACTGATGACATGATCTTGAGTGAATCACAGAGCCCGGAACTACTACTGTGTCCGCTATGAGGGGCTGTGGTGAGGATTAAGTAGACGGAGGCAGACAGGTACGCATCAGGACAGCACCTGCCACACAGCCAGCGTTCACTTCAAGAGACACAGACTCCGCCAACGACACAGAAGGCAGGACGACGAGGAGGCCGTTGCTTCACCCGCTGCTAGCCAGGGAGTCCCGAGAACGGCTCACTTGCGAGCGCCGGCTCTAGCTGCAGCAGTGCCGGGGGGAGGATACCAGGAAAGCAGCGACAGAGGTCAATGAGCTGTGACGCTGAGCTGCTGCCCCAGCACCCACCTGTGAGCAAAAGAGACACAGCCCGCGCCAGAGGGGCCCCGTACCTGCGCCACTGCGGCGGGTGCTCATGTCCGCCACGTAGATCCACTCGTTGGTCGCTGGGTCGTACTGCTCCACGGTGCTCAGGCACTGGCGGGAGGCCCCATCGTAGCCCCCAACGGCGTACAGCTTCCCTGGAATCGACCAAGTGGCAGAGGGTGTCCCAGGACACGGGCACGGAACAGCAGTAAAGCCAAGGCTCCATCTTTAACCCTCTGGGGCCTCCGGGGGGACCACCAACTCGCTCTCCAGCCAGGGAAGCCCCCCTCTCCACTTCTGCCTCCTCCTCGCTCTCCACCATGAGCTCCTGAGCAGCACTACTGAGACTCTTTCTAGATCAGGGCTCCTTCTCCCCAGTACAAAACTTCAACCCCGCTCAGGTCGGGCCCGACATCTTGCTGGTGAATGACACGAGGCATCAGCACCAGACACAGGCGGGCAGGTGGACGTTCTGGCCAAAGGTCCACGCCAGCAAGTGAAATAAAACACTGTCCAGGGAGAACCCACACCCTCTCTTGGCCCTGGTGTCCAGCCTCTCTGCCACCATGGCAGACAGAGTGTGTGAAAGGCGTGCTCTGTGCGCAGCCTGAGCTGGCGTGCCTGGAATGGCCCCGGGACCACACTGACATCTCTGAGCCATGCACAAGAGCCCTGAGGTACCAGCACCTATTTTAAAACAAAAATACCATTAAGCTGCCGTCCAAGACCATAGTTTCTGCCTGGGGCTAGGGGCAGAGAGTGAGTCTGGCCAAGGGAGAAGAACATTGCATTTGGGCTGTCCCAGGGCACAGAGTCACACATTTTGGGTTGAATAGTTAGTCCTGCAATGCAATGGGTCAGTCTCGTCCACAGGGGCAGGGGGAGGAGTCCCACCCACCTCGCTTGTGGGCCTCAGAGTATGGGGCCCCTGGAACTGTAGCAAGGGTCTGGAATGCCGGCTGTAGACTAAGTGATGCAAATCTCTTCCCCAGGATTACATCACTAACTGATCTCAGGGAGACATCACACGATTATTCTAGGTTAGGAGGATCATCGGCTCAACACTGTACTCTAGAATCGGGACTGTCGCCGTGTCAACGATAGATTCTTCCTCCGGCACCACTGAGCCTGGTTTTGTTTTCTGCCTCACAGTCCCCTCAACTGCCCCTGGGAGAGACAGAGACGACCCCTCCCCAGTTCTGCCCTCACCAAGTCAAGGGGAAAGACCCTCGGGGCCCAGGCCGCGTGTGCAGTGCGTGCTGGCTCACGGGGACCCACTGTGACACGCTCTCTGCCCGGCCGGGGAGCTGCGGCCTCCCCCTGACCCCCACTGCCCCTGCTCCTGGCAGGGCTCCGCGAGCTCCAGTAGCCAGTGATGCTGACTTCCGCCACTTTGTCACCTGTATCACTCAAACAGCAGGGCCGCCGTCGTGAGCTGATGAGAAGGACGGACACAGGCCAGACGACAAAGAGGACCACGTCCACAAGGCCATGGGGGAGCAGAGCCCACCTAAGCTCCTCCCTCACGTTCTCACCAGAGCTGCAGACGGGCCCTCTGCAGCCCCACGGTGTCCACAGCTTCTGATGTGAGAGGGCAAGCTGAGCACGCTCCCAGTGTGCCCTCCCCGCATGGACATGCAGGGACGCAAAGGGGCTCCCAGGAGCCTCGACAGGGCAGCAGTGAAAGGGACCACCATTCAGGCCCCTCCGCTAACCCCCATCAGCCATTCCCAGCCTGCAGCGTCAGCCGAGAAAACCCCGCTCAGGGTTTCTCCTGGAGACCATTCCCAGGGACCTGCTATTTTTAACCCCTCGTCTATTGTTTGGTGTTTCTGGCTGAGGAACCAGGGGAAATGGGAAGGCGGCTGACAAAGCACTTACATTTGGCAGATGGATCGACTTCTGTTCCACCAAGAGGATTAATGTGCAAGGAACGATTCACATGAAAATGCAAACTACCCAGTACCAGTACAGACAGAGAAGTACAGTGAGAGAAAGGACCTTTCTACTAACATCTACAGTGTGCACACACGTGTGTGTGCGCGTGTGTATGTGTACCAGTCTCAATCAACAGCTCTTCCAGCTGAAGTCCCACATCGGGGCAGGTTAACACATCAGTGTCGACCCGCAAGCTGTAAAGTTTAGTTCAAATAACTCTCTTAGCCTTGGGCAGGGGCTTCGCCCTCATCTGTTCTATCAGGACCCTGGCACGTAGCTCAGGGCAGTGCCCTGCAGATCAGAGCAAGGCAGGGGCACATCAAGCTGCTGGACAGAGGACGCGGCCCGGGTGCTGCCGCCTTACCTTCTACAACGCCCACACCCACGCTGCTCCGCCGCGTGTTCATCGGGGCCACAAAGAACCACTCGTTGGTCTTGTAGCTGTAGGCTTCTACCGACGCCAGGCCTGGGAGACAAGAGACTCGTGACTCCAACAGCACGGGACCTCAGCCTGCTGATGGGGACCGGCCCAGTGCCAGCCCTGCTTTGCTGAACAGCGGCAGCAACTCTGCCCTCACACATCTGCCCTGCCTCCGGGGGGACCACTGACGCTGACTCAAAGGGTGGGTAAATCTCAGCTGCACTGCACAAGTCAGTCTTGCAACTCCCAGCATGGAACACTGCGATTCCAAGGGAAAACCTGAGGCTGCCTCACTCAGCACCTCTTCCCATCCCGTTCCCCTGGCTTCCTTTACCTTAAACGCTGGAAAGGTGACAGGACTCCCTTGCAGCTAACGGTGAGCGAGTCATTGAGATCTAAGTAGAAATCTGGTGAGGGTTTCTTAAACAGCCTTTGTTTGTCTCATACAGGAGCCACTCCGCCCTGCCTCTTACCCAGAACTGACATGTGCTAGCTCGGGCAGTAACAGCCATCTAGTGATCACAAGGAAAAGGCCAAGAGAATCTTAAGGAACTTGGTCCAGTATCCAATTTAAGTATATGTGCTGCCGAAGCGAGCACTTGGTCCAGTACCCCAGTGCAACGGTACCAAGTCAGGAATTACTGACCTCTGGACTTTGTGTCTCAGGAGTAAAACAAAGTCCTTCATTTTTTTAAGCTACAGTTGACTCAGGTTTTCTGCTTATAACCCCCAATAAGTCCTAAAAGAAACAACGCACCCTTTTGTTCTCTTTATTTTTAGGTCCCACTCAGTATAGGCAGCCTCCAGGGGGGTTGAAGACCCTGACATTTATATGAGTGGGGCAAAAAGAAGGCTGAGAAAGATCAACAACTGTGACAATACAAATAAAAACCCCAGAGAAGAAAAAGATATTGTTCTTCATCTCAAAGAATACAGATTTCATTTAACTGAGTTACTGTCTACAAAGATGTCTACCTGGAGACATGAGCAGACGTGAGATCTGCTCTCCAAGGCCACGTCCACTAATGGCTGCAGATCAGCATTTTGAAGCTGGGCCCACCCATGGTAACACAGCCTTGCAAAGCTTCCATGCACCAGGAGAACAGAGGGAGCAGCCCAACCGACCAGCTGGCCCCAGCCAGGTCTTCTCCAACTGCAGAGCCTCGGCTGGCTCCTTTTCTGCTCAGTGGAGGGTACAGACGAGGGTCCTGAGGCGCTGTGCAGCTGAACCTGCACTCTCTCTTCTTTTTTTCCCCTTAAGATTTATTTTATTTATTTGAAAGGCAGAGTGACAGAAAGAGAGGGAAAGGCAGAGACAGACACACACACATGCACGCGCACAAACACACACACACACACACACACACGGGCGCACACACAGATCTTCCATCTGTTGGTTCACTCCCCCAAATGGCTACAAATGCCAAGGCTGGGCCAGGTCAAAACCAGGAGCCAGGAACTCCATCCAGGTCTTCCACGTGGGTGGCAGGGACCCAAGTACTTGGGCATCTTCTGCTGCCTTTCCAGCTACACTGGCAGGAAGCTGGATCAGATGCAGGGCAGTCCAGACTGGACCCCAGCTGGCATCCCATATGGGAGGCAGGCAGCAGGTTAACCCACAGTACAATGCTGGCCCCCGAGCATGCTCTCCTTCTACTCTAAGTCTCATCGTATGCATAAATCGACTCTCCAACAGCAGAAAGCTGCAAAGGGACTCTTCTGAGTGCAGGTCCTTCCTAGAGCCCTAGAAATCAGTGTGTGGCGGCCAGCATCCCATTGAATGGGGAAAAGTTGGAAGCATTTCCACTGAGATCTGGCACCAGACAGGGATGCCCACTCTCACCACTGCTATTTAACATAGTTCTGAAAGTTTTAGCCAGAGCCATCAGACAAGAAAAAGAAATTAAAGGAATACAAATTGAGAAGGAAGAAGTCAAACTATCCCTCTTTGCAGACGATATGATTCTTTACTTAGAGGATCCAAAGAACTCTACTAAGAGACTATTAGAACTCATAGAGGACTTTGGCAAAGTGGCAGGATATAAAATCAATGCACAAAAATCCACAGCCTTTGTATACACAAGCAATTCCACGGTTGAGAAAGAACTGCTAAGATCAATCCCATTCACAATAGCTACAAAAACAATCAAATACCTTGGAATAAACTTAACCAAGGACGTTAAAGATCTCTATGATGAGAATTACAAAATCTTAAAGAAAGAAATAGAAGAGGATACCAAAAAATGAAAAAATCTTCCATGCTCATGGATTGAAAGAATCAACATCATCAAAATGTCCATTCTCCCAAAAGCAATTTATAGATTCAATGCAATCCCAATCAAGATACCAAAGACATTCTTCTCAGATCTAGAAAAAATGATGCTGAAATTCATATGGAGGCACAAGAGACCTCGAATAGCTAAAGCAATCTTGTACAACAAAAACAAAGCCGGAGGCATCACAATACCAGATTTCAGGACATACTACAGGGCAGTTGTAATCAAAACAGCATGGTACTGGTACAGAAACAGATGGATAGACCAATGGAACAGAATTGAAACACCAGAAATTAACCCAAACATCTACAGCCAACTTATATTTGATCAAGGATCTAAAACCAATTCATAGGCCGGCGCCGCGGCTCAATAGGCTAATCCTCCGCCTAGCGGCGCCGGCACACCAGGTTCTAGTCCCGGTCGGGGCGCCGGATTCTGTCCCGGTTGCCCCTCTTCCAGGCCAGCCCTCTGCTGTGGCCAGGGAGTGCAGTGGAGGATGGCCCAGGTGCTTGGGCCCTGCACCCCATGGGAGACCAGGAAAAGCACCTGACTCCTGGCTCCTGCCATCGGATCAGCGCGGTGCACCGGCCGCAGCGCGCTGGCCGCGGCGGCCATTGGAGGGTGAACCAACGGCAAAGGAAGACCTTTCTCTCTGTCTCTCTCTCTCACTGTCCACTCTGCCTATCAAAAAAAAAAAAAAAATTAAAACCAATTCCTGGAGCAAGGACAGTCTATTCAATAAATGGTGCTGGGAAAACTGGATTTCCACGTGCAGAAGCATGAAGCAAGACCCCTACCTTACACCTTACACAAAAATCCACTCAACATGGATTAAAGAGCTAAATCTACGACCTGACACCATCAAGTTATTAGAGAACATTGGAGAAACCCTTCAAGATATTGGCACAGGCAAAGAGTTTCTGGAAAAGACCCGGGAGGTACAGGCAGGCAAAGCCAAAATCAACTATTGGGATTGCATCAAATTGAGAAGTTTCTGTACTGCAAAAGAAACAGTCAGGAGAGTGAAGAGACAACCGACAGAATGGGAAAAAATATTTGCAAACTATGCAACAGATAAAGGGTTAATAACCAGAATCTACAAAGAGATCAAGAAACTCCACAAAAACAAAACAAACAACCCACTTAAGAGATGGGCCAAGGACCTCAATAGACATTTATTAAAAGAGGAAATCCAAATGGCCAACAGACACATGAAAAAATGTTCAAGATCATTAGCAATCAGGTAAATGCAAATCAAAACCACAATGAGGTTTCACCTCACCCCGGTTAGAATGGCTCACATACAGAAATCTACCAACAACAGATGCTGGTGAGGATGTAGGGAAAAAGGGACACTAACCCACTGTTGGTGGGAATGCAAACTGGTCAAGCCACTATGGAAGTCAGTCTGGAGATTCCTCAGAAACCTGAAGAAAACCCTACCATTCAACCCAGCCATCCCACTCCTTGGAATTTACCCAAAGGAATTTAAACAAAAAAGCGGTCTGCACCCTAATGTTTATTGCAGCACAATTCACAATAGCCAAGACCTGGAACCAACCTAAATGCCCATCAACAATAGACTGAATAAAGAAATTATGGGATATGTACACTTTAGAATACTATACCACAATAAAAAACAATGAAATCCAGTCATTTGCAACAAAATGGAGGAATCTGGAACACATCATGCTGAGTGAAATAAGCCAGTCCCAAAGGGACAAATATCATATGTTCTCCCTGATCGGTGACAACTGACTGAACACCAAAAAGGAAACCTGTTGAAGTGAAATGGACACTATGAGAAACAGTGACTCGATCAGCATAGCCCTGACTGTTAATGAACAACTTAATACATTATCCCTCTTAGTATTTTTTTTTGTCTGTTCTACTTAATACTACTGGTTTAATTCTGTAATTAATACACAGTTATTCTTAAGTGTTGAAATTTAACTGAAATGTGATCCCTGTTAAATATAAGAGTGGGTATAAGAGAGGGAAGAGATGTACAATTTGGGACATGCTCAAGCTGACTTGCCCCAAATGGTAGAGTTAGAAACATACCAGGGGAGGCCGGCGCCGTGGCTCTCTAGGCTAATCCTCCGCCTAGCGGCGCCGGCACACTGGGTTCTAGTCCCAGTCGGGGCGCCGGATTCTGTCCCGGTTGCCCCTCTTCCAGGCCAGCTCTCTGCTGTGGCCAGGGAGTGCAGTGGAGGATGGCCCAAGTGCTTGGGCCCTGCACCCCATGGGAGGCCAGGAAAAGCACCTGGCTCCTGGCTCCTGCCATCGGATCAGCGCGGTGCGCCGGCCGCAGCGTGCCGGCCGGCCGCGGTGGCCATTGGAGGGTGAACCAATGGCAAAGGAAGACCTTTCTCTCTGTCTCTCTCTCTCACTGTCCACTCTGCCTGTCAAAAAAAAAAAAAAAAAAAGAAACATACCAGGGGATTCCAATTCAATCCCATCAAGGTGGCATGTATCAATGCCATCTCACTAGTCCAAGTGATCAATTTCAGTTCACAATTGATCATAATGAAAGGACTAAGAGTCAAAGGGATCACATAAACAAGTCTAGTACCTGCTAATACTAACCGATAGAATAAATAAAGGGGAGAGCCATCCAACATGGGAAGCGAGATACACAGCAGACTCATAGAATGGCGGATGTCCTAAACAGCACTCTGGCCTCAGAATCAGCCCTAAAGGCATTCGGATCCGGCTGAAAAGCCCATGAGAGTAGTTCAGGCATGGAAAGCCAAGACACTCTGGCAAAAAAACAAAAACAAAAACAAAAACAAAACAAAAAAAAACACCCTAAATGAAAGATCTCTGTGAGTGAGATCCCAGTGGAAAGAACAGGTCTTCGAAGAAGGAGGTACCTTTCTCTGAAGGGAGGAGAGAACCGAGAGAACCTCCACTTTGACTATGACCTTGTCTAAACAAGATAAGAGTCGGAGAACTCAGAGGGCTTCCATAGCCTTGGAAACTCATGACTGGAGCATAGGGAGATTACTGATGCCATAAACAGGAGTGTCAATTTGTAAAGTCAACAACAGGAGTCACGGTGCACTTACTCCTCATGTAGGATCTCTGTCCTTAATGTGCTGTACATTGAGATTTAATGCTATAACGAGTACTCAAACAGTATTTTTCACTTTGTGTTTTTATGTGGGTGCAAACTGTTGAAATCTTTACTTAATGTATACTAAACTGATCTTTGGTATATATAGAAAATTGAAAATGAATCTTGATATGAATGGAAGGGGATAGACAGTGGGAAAGGGGAGGGTTGCAGGTGGGAGGGAAGTCATCGGGGAGGGGGGAGCCAATGTAGTCCATAAGCTGTACTTTGGAAATCTATATTCATTAAATAAAAGTTAAAAAAAAAAAAAAAAGAAAGAAATCAGTGTGTGGGCCTGGTTCTGGCCCCAAAAGAAGCTGGGCCGGTAGCTATAGACACGCACGGTTGCCCAAGAACTGAGGAACAAAACAGGGTTATGAGAAGGGTGTGTCCCAGGCTGGGAGGGGTGGGGACATGCCCTGGACTTACCAGTGCTGCCATCAAAGCCTCCCACGGCGTAGAGCAGGTCGTTGAGCACCGCTGCACCCAGTGTGCTCCGGCGTTCCTGCATGCTGGCAATGGACGTCCACTGGTCCTTCACGCCGTCATACACGTCCACCGTCCGTACCCGCAGCGAGCCGTTAAACCCGCCCACAGCATACACATGGCCAGCCATGAACACCACACCTGAGGCACAGGAAACTAAGGTATCAAGGTCAGGTCGAGACAGCTGGCCACTTAGGTCGATGGGTGACAGCAGGGGGAGCAAGGCGGGCACAGGAATAACTCACAGAGATAACCTCCAACTTCAGGTTTCTAGAAATCAAGATGGGACTCACTGGGTTGCTTTTTCCATTCGCTTTTGTACTTTTGTTTGATTCAAGCAAATATTTGAATTAGCTTACACCCCCAAGCGCGTAAGAGCTGATCTTAGAAAGGGCCACCCAACACAGTGCAGGTGGGGAAGGCAAGGGAAGGGTGCCTGAATCCCACAGAGGATCGAGGACCCCAGGGCCCCACAGGACTTCCCGGACTGGGTGGAGACCGGCCAGGAAAAGCAGCCTGCAGAACTGAACTGACGGCAGTGCGGCTCACCTGCTCTGCATCTCCGGGACGGAAGTTCAGCAATCTGATCCCACCGGTCCTCCTCGAAATCATAGCACTCCACACTACGGATTGCCTTGGGCGCCTGGCCACCAACCACAATCATGACCTCCAGAGAGACAAGTGGACGTTAGCTGCGTCTCCTCACATCTAGATTAGTGGGTAACCAACTCCCAGTACCTCCCACGCCCCCTTCCCAGGGCGTGTGGGTGATCTGCGAGGCTGGACCACAGAGCTACAGACATGGAGATGCCGCCCCTATCACCCACACGTGTGTGTATGCAAGAGCACTCTAACACGCATCTCCCCACGGGTACACGACCAGAAGGGCTGTGCTTCCTAAATGCCCCTCTCAGAGCGATGTTGGGGGTGGCGAAGCCCCTGGAGGCATCTTCTGTGGCCTCAGTAGCCTCAAAGACTGGGGAGGGGACTAAATTGTATCAAAACAAATGACTATATCTTAGAAAAAACATTCAATTCGGATGCATTTTTAGGATCAAATTATTAACCAAAAATATTTCTGAATGCTTACACTGCAGAAGGCACACGTTCACTGCATTATGGGAAAAAAAAATGTGGTGAAACACTGCTTTGTGGTGGGTACCATGAAATTTGTTTAACTGATGATGCTCTGAAAGATACCGCTAACAAATTCCCACAAATAAGGAACCACAAGGAGAGGGCTATCATTCACTCGTCGCCACAACTCTGTAGAGATGACCATCCCCACTGGCAGCTGAGGAGAGCTCACAGAACACCACAAAAGCCCTGGGTCACACAGCTGAGAGTACAGAACAGAGACTGAGACGCGAGTGCCCCTGATGCAAGGATGAGGCCAGTGCCACCCCAGCCGCTCCAGAGACAGGGTCTGTGCTGACAGCTTGCTGCACCTGTGTTTGCGTCAAAATGCAGGTCCCATTCTGGTAGTGGGTCATGAAATCCATGTAATGGGTTGCAACCAGCATACTTTTAATAGAACAGCACAGGAATGATCATGGAAGGATGTTATTTCATGAAATATCTCATCTGGTATTCCACACCTGTACCTTCCGGATAATAGTTCAAACATTTGTTACTGCAGAGTGTGGCCAAAGAAATAAAAGCCGCTGCTCTAGCTAGAGTAACGCATCTGCAATACTCAAGTGTGGTATCCTTGCTGTTGTGACTTTTGTCGTACGTCATTAATAAATAAAAATTATAGTGCCAATGCTAACTACAGTGTATACAGCTTTCTAAATTGATGCAGAGTTGCAGCTGTCCCCATAATGGTGTTACTCTCACTCACTGGCTTTCTTGAGCCGAGAGACGGGGGTGGACGCCATTGGCAGGTAATACCACCACAGGACTTGATCTTTACCTGTAGCTCCCATTATTTACCCGGTGAATCTGCAATTCAGCATGCATCGGAATCCCCTGAAAGCTTTGTAAAAACACAACGTGCTGGGCTCTGCCCCAGAGTTTCCGACTCAGCGAGTCAGGAGCAAAGCTGAGAATCTGCATTTTTCACAAATTCCCAGCTGAGGCTGCTGCTCTGCTCTAGGATTCACCGCTCTTCTAACCCAGGGTCCACTGAGCGCCATCAGCCGTGAGTACCATCAGCCGTGAGTGCCATCAGCCGTGAGTGCCATCAGCCGTTTGTGCCGTTATGAATGATGGTGCTTATTACTTCCCCACCTGTGTTTTGGGGAGAGGAGCACGATCTTCAACACCAGAGTGAGCCAGCAGTAGTTCACTCACCCCCCAGTGAACATCACCTACCAGATGGGGAGCAAAACCAGAGCTGTTGTCAGACCACTGCTCAAGGTCAAGCCCTGATGCCTGGGTTCCAGACTCAAGCTCACCACCGCCCTCGTGAGGCCATCAGCTTTAGTTCACAGCTGTCTGTGGCCAATATCCAAGACCCAGAAGTCAGTCTTGACTTCCGAAACGTTCAGAGGAACCCAGGACATACCGTCCAGGTGTGAGCTGTGGCTGCTGCTGCTGCTGCTGCTCGGAATACACACTCTGACCTTCCCGCAGGTCCCAGCTCAGAGCAGCCTTTCTCAGGGAAAGGCTAAATTCTACATCACTCTCCATCTGTGACTCTTTGCTTGGACAGGCATCCATCAATAGTTCAAAACCTGTACAATGGTCTGAGACAAGGAACTGTGAGGCCTGGGTGTGACCATCAGTGTTGCAGGTAGCTCAAAGCAGTAAGGAGCAGCAAGGGCAGGTTCTGCTTCTCTCAGAGGCATAAGATATCCAATTTTTTTTGTAAGTTGTGCAGGAAACCATCACAGGGGCAGCACTGTTCCCACCATTGTGTTGATCACACGGAGTACAAAGAAGAAATGTCCTACCTTGAATACTAACAGACGGTTCTTTCCACAGATCCTGAACTTAGCAACCAATTAGACGAATATGAGTACCTCCCAAGGCCTATGTGTATTACACCTGTGAAATCACAAGCTTCCAGCTACTTAAGAAGGCCACAGGGCATTGGAGCAAGTACAGACGTGAACCACTTTCTCCTATCAGCCCTCATTTTACGTTTCCAGAACATTCGGGCCCAGGAAGTTAAATAGGCCTATTTCTTTCATTGTCCAATTCAGTCAAGATTTATGATGCCTGTAATAGAAGTCACTGACTCAAATCAGCATATTTAATGATCTCTATTTGTAACATTTATCCCACAGGGCAAGCCTGGGTGAGAACTATCAGCGGCGTGGGAATCACAGTCAACTAAAGAAGCAGTTCTAGGCTAACGATTATGCTGCATGGACATGGTTTAATCATTCAAAATTGCGGTGTGCTTGGAAGTCTTGCAGGGACCCTTAGGGTCTAGATCCCCGATCTCAATGGTCTCTGTGTTAAAGTCCACAGAAATCATAATGAATGGAGAGTTCTGGTTGAAAGACAGGAGCGAGCAGGGCTCCGCTGTGGCAGGGATGGTTATCAATGATCCCCCAAGGAAAGTCAAATGGCCATCTGCTTTAGGGCGATTACTGAGACAATGGAAAGACTATTTGCTTTCTTAGGAAAGAAGGTTTTCTCCCAGAGTAACAAGAGTTTAAATAAAAATATAGCATTCTCTGTTTTGCAGATATGGTCTGATTCCACTCATTTGACTTGGGGTTGAACGCATACTGGTTCCTCCTCAGTGAAATGACAGCATCCTGCATTGGCAGCCATCAAGCACCAGAACCCAACAAGGGAAAGGGGCAAGTGTTGGACAGAGCAGAGCTCTGTGGCCCTCATGGGATCCAAATACTGACCCTGGCCTTAGGACCAAGTAAGGCATCAGAATCTCCACTCAGAGAACAACCAGGGCTCTGCACACATTTTCCATCAGGCAAGAATAGAGTGGATGTCCAAACTGTCTTCCATGGCCGGTGAGCTGGGCAGGAGGCAGGCCCAGCCAGTCGGTCCCTCGGGCCAGGGCAGGAAGCCAGAGTCTCTCTTACCCTGGTGCGTGGGGCCGCAGGGCTAACACCGAAAAGTCATCCGGAGGAGCATGTCGAGGTCGAGCCAGAAGACTTGTCCAGGCAGGTTCCCGAGCAACAGGTGCTCCAGGCAAGTACTGACAGCCTCGTGTGAGACAAAGGTCTGAGAACCAGTGAAGTGAAGGCTGGGCCCCGGGCAGCGCAGGGCAGTGAGCTCTGCTGTCAGACACATCTGGGCTCAGGCATCAGGCCCCACCCTACACCCCACCCCTCACTACCTAGCTGTCTGATCGAGGGCAAGGAGGGCACTTAACCTTGCTAGCCTCATTTTCATCACCCGTAGTATCAGCAAAACGGGATGTTTCTCTGGTATGGGTGTCAGGAGGATGAATGATAAAAAGCCCTTGGCACAGTGCTCTGTAAGTGGTAAACATTAAATGTTGGCTTCCATTATTAGATCAACACCAGCATCATTATTTTTGCGTGAGGCAGGAAAAAAAAAAAAAAAAAAAACCTGTTTCCTAATAAATGGTACAAAGTAGTACTTGTGAACCTGTGAATGGGAGGGTAAGTGCCGCTGATTCTGGGGGTGACGATGGGACTGGACGTTTTCAGGATCTTAGGGTGTTTGCTGGAGTGTAGAACATGCTGGCAGAGGATAAGAGGCCATCCTACCCACGCTGCCAACCCCTCCGCTGCCAACACCATCTACCGTAAGCAGGATGGCCCGACTCAGAGCCAAGCCGCCCACCTCCAGCCCAAATGGCTTTGAAGTATCACTTTGAAAGAGCTGAACAGAAATGCCAACTGAACTGGAATGACGATGAAAAGGGCCAGGTCAGTACATTTCCAAAAGGTTTATTTGAATCTTCCTGGAACCTCATCTCTCTGCTGCCATCTGTGGAACAGGGCAACGTGGGAGGGTTCCTGGTGGCTGGGAGCAGCCTCTGGTTGTCCATGGCAACCCAGCCTCAGGGAAAGCGCCAGGCGGTGAACGTGTGGGAGCCAAGATGATGCTATTAGCTGTTCCAGCTTGAATGTGTCAGTGTGATCTGTGCATCAATGGCTCTGGAAACACACCCTGATGAGCCTCTGCAGCTAACTCAGAAATCGAGTCCTATTCCTTTCAGGAAAGGGACTTGGCTGGCGAACAGATTCACTGCTGAAAACAGTACAAATCTCCCTCCACCACTTCATTCCTTCAAGTGTGCCACGTCGGGAAGCCTATCTGGACTGAACTCATGGAAGTCCAAACCAGCCTGCACTTGGAAGTCCTGTGGCTCCACTCCAACTACTCCAATCATCTCCTGATTTCTCCACTTTTGTTAAGCTGGTAAGTTAAAAATCCCCACAAGGCAGACATCAGGTTGCTTCCTCCACGACACCAAACTAAACTGCTTCTGTGGGGTCTGGAGTTCATATACAAGTTGGGGGCAGAGGTCTGGGGCTAGTCACACTGGGCTTAAATCTCAGCTCAGCCACTTACCAGCTGTACTTGAAAGATAGGTCACCAATTCTTTGATTCTCCTCCATACAAACATGGAAATTAATTTTCTTCCCCTTGAATATGGACTGGCCTTGGATTTAGTGACATGCATTCAGCAAATGAAACAGGGCAGAAGTGCTGGGAACACGGCTTTGGAGGCGACATTGTAATAAGACTCAAGCTCTACCGCAGATGTGCCTGCTCATTCTCTTGATCTCCAGTCACTCACTGGGGGCAGGCTAGCTACCACATCATGAAGACACTCAACCGCTCACGGAGGGATCCACATGGCAAGAAACTTAGGCCTACCAGCAACCATGTGCATGGGCTTAGAACCAGACCCTGCCCAAACAAGCCTTGAGATGACTGCAGCCTGACCAACAGTTTGACTTTACGACCGAACCTGAGCCAGAACAACCTAGCTAAGCCATTCCAGGATGCCTGCCTAGAGAAACTGTGAGATAATACACGTGTGTTGTGTTAAGTCACCAAGCTGAGAGTAATTTGTAATGCAAAATAAATAACCAGTAAATAATGAATACATAATATCCCCAAGATCCAGGTCTCTGGCCTCTTCCCTTTCCGTGGCACTTAATGCATCACTGTAATTTTCTCTTCACATCTCTCTCCCTCACCCCTAGACTGGGAGTCCCTTGGAAAAGGGACCAGTTCATGCGAGGCTTTGTGCTCCAGAACATAACACGCACCTGATAATTAGTGACTTCTTTATAGAAGAGTGCAATATGATTGAATTAATGAATTTATGAATGAATGCACCCATGATAGTTTATTGCTGGGGTTTGGATTTTCTTACTGTTTTATCTAAGTGCCTCACAACCCTCTATCTCTCAGGAACAACATCAGGACTCATTCAATATTATATGGCTTATGAGTTGAACTAAATGTTCTAGAGTCAATCTATATTACTAAGCAAAGAAAGATATAAATAGGACACAATTACTCACTAGCTCCATCCAAAACCACAGATATGAATGCTGACAGCAATTATAAAACAAGGGAAGAGATGATATAAATGGTCAGTTTTAAATTTCCATAAGGTTGCTTCTTTAAAAATATGTATCTCAGGGCTGGCATTGCAGCATAGCAGCCAAGCTGCCGCTTGTAACGCCAGCATCCCATATGGTCACCAGTTCGAGTCCCAGCTGCTCCAACTCAAATCCAATGTGCCTGGAAAAGCAGCAGAAGATGGTCTAAGTACTTGGACCCCTGTACCCACGTGAGAAATCCAGAAGAAGCTCCTGGCTCTGGCTTCAAACTGGTATAACTCTGGCTGTTGTGGCAATTTGGGAGTGAACTAGCAGATGGAAGAACAATATCTCTCTGTGTGTCTCTCTTTCTAATATGCCTTTCAAATAAATAAAGAGGCCTTTTAAATATATATGCATATATACACACATCATTTTCATTGATGAAATTTACTACTGCCCACCATGTGCCAGGATCTGGGCTGTGTGCCAAGGAAAAAGATGAGTAATGCCCGCTTTTCTGGAATCTACTATTGCGTAGAGGAGTTAACAATCTGGAAGAGAACACTAAATACCAGCTCTACCCCAAAGCACCAGCCCAGGGTATTCAACTATCTCCTGAAGTTACTGTCCCTGAATACAATAGTATCAAAAACTATGCAATACCTAGGAATAAATCTAACAAAAGATATGCAAGACCCATACACTGAAAACTATAAAAGATTTAAGAGAAAAATTAAAGAAGACCAGAAAAATTGAAGACATATACTATGTTCATGGATCAGAAAATTTAGTATTGTTAAATGAAAGTTTTCCCTAATTGATATAGTGATTCAATACAACTACCAATCAAATTCCCTGTAGCTTTTCTGTAGAAATAAACAAGCTGATTCTCAAGTTTATATGGAAGTGCAAAGGGCCAAGAATAACAAAACAACTTTGAAGACAAAAACTAGAGAATTCACACTAACATAAAACTATAAAGCTAGTAATCAAGACAAAATGGTATTGATATAAAGACAAATAAACATGGACCAGAATGAAGTTCCAAAACAGATCAACCCATAATTATTTATAACAAAAGTAATAAGGTAATTCAATGGAGAAAGGAGAATCTTTCCAATAAGTGGTGTGAAACAATTGGACAAACATATGCAAAATGAATGAAACTTGACATTTTATCATGTACAGTGTATATGTGTATGTGTACATATATGTGTGTATGTATATATATATATATGAAGAGCTTTTCAAACTAAAGCATAGACCTAAATGTAAAACCTAAAACTTTAAAAGGAAGCATAGCAGAAAATATTTGTGACCTTAAATTAGGTGAGGTTTTCCAAGCTAGAACACAAAATAAGCAAAGCATAATAGAAAAAAATGAAAAATTTAAAACTTCTGCTCTTCTAAGTGTAGCCATTATGGAAAAGAGCATGGAACTTCCTAAAAAACTGAAAATAGAACTACCACGTACACCAGCAATCCCACTACCGAGTATAAACACAATAGAAATGAAATCACTGTGTCACATAGAAACCTACACTCCCATATTCACTGCAGCTTCATTCGCAATAGCCAAGAGATGGCATCAAACCAAGTTTATATCAGCAGATGAACAGATAAAGAAAACAAGGTATTCATGTACAATGAGAGATTAGTTAGACTTAAAGAAACCATGCCGGGGCTGGCACTGTGGCTCACTTGGTTAATCCTCCGCCTGCAGTGCCGGCATCCAATATGGGCACCGGGTTCTAGTCCTGGTTGCTCCTCTTCCATTCCAACTCTCTGCTGTAGCCCAGGAAGGCAGTGGAGGATGACCCAAGTGCTTGGGCCCCTGCACCCACATGGGAGACCAGGAGGAAGCACCTGGCTCCTGGTTTCGGATCGGCGCAGCACGCCAGCCGTGGCAGCCATTTGAGGGGTGAACCAATGGAAGGAAGACCTTTCTCTCTGTCTCTCTCTCCCACTGTCTTACTCTGCCTGACAAATTAAAAAAAAAGAAAAAGAAAAGAAATCATGCCATTTGTGACAACATGGATGAATGTGGAGGACAATATATTAAGAAAAACAAGCCAGGCACAATAAGACAAATACTACATGATCTCACTTACATGTAAAATATACAATGTTAATCTCATGGACTAAAGAGGGGTAATGTTAGAGAGATGCTGACTAAAAAATGCAAAATTTTAGTTGGAAGAAATAAGTTCAACAGAGCTATTGTACAACAGAGACTACAGTCAAGAAAAATGTGCTGTATTCCTGAAAATTAATTTTAAATATTCTCATCACATGTAAATATGTGAGGTAACACACATGTTAATTATCTACATTTAGCCAATCCATAAAGTATACATATTGTAAAGCATCATGTTGTACATGAAAAACATACATCAGTTTTACTTGTCAAGTAAAATAATTAATTAAAAAAGTTTTGCTCTTCCAAAGATACTGCTAAGAAAATGAAAATATAAGGCACACATTGAGAGAAAATATTACAAACAAGGGATAAACTGAAAACTAAGAGAAAAACATTTGAAATACAGACATATAAAGCCCTAACTTCTTTAATGTACAAAGGGCCCTTAAAAACTATCAGTTAAAAAAAATACACAATCCAATAGTAAAATGAGCAAAGGACACAGAGAAGACCCAGGAAAGAAATACAAATGCCAATAATCATATAAAACCAACACTAATCTCACTCACAATTAAAGAAATGCAAAGTGAAACAAGATACTATCTTTAAAAGGATATTTGACAGAGAAATGTTTATAATACCCCCAGAAATGGAAATTACGGCAAAGCCCATCAATAGAGGGCTGTTAAATACATACTAAATGCCGCGTACCCACTACCATTTACATGCCAACTGCACCCACACCAACAACATCAACAGCATATGAAATATTTCCATCTGTACAGCAAGATCCCATTTATCTAACAGCACACATTTGTATCTCTTTGTGGATAAGCGCACAAACATATGGAAGACAGTTCACCAAAATGGCAGCAGCGGCTGCCTCTAGGAGGGGTTTCAGGCAGCTTTTACTTTATCCCAAAATTGTAAAATCCTTTTATTTAATCTACACTGAGAAACATTTAGTTAAGTAAAGAAAGCTATTTCTTTTTGAAAAATATGAAGAAGTTGCAATGCGTGTTTCAACAACACACACAAAGGCATCAGGGTGCAGCACAGCACAGCGCAGCACCCTTCATTCTGCTGACCGAGGGCCTGCGGGCCAGGAGGGGAGGAGGTCTGCAGGGAGCCAAAGCCGCCAGCACCCGGCACAGACTTCCAATCCCTGGCCCAGACCCCTCTCTTACACTCCTCCTCCCCTGCCCCTGGCTTCTCCCTCCAAGTTCTCAAGTTCACCTGTTTGATTGATCATCTGTCAGACTCCTCATGTCCCCCCTGCCCTCCTGGACAGCCCTAGCTGTCCTCTATGTGCCCCCCGTGGTGAGAGAAGGAACCAAACTGGGACAGTTTGACTCAAAGGCTTGCAGGGAGGACTGTGACAGCCCGCGGTAAGTGAAGACCAGTGTAGCCATTCCTTTGCCTCCAACAGGAACAGAACATGAACCACGGTGTGAGGTCAGAGGCAGGTGAGCTCCTCTCAAACCTCCCTGATGACAATGGGGGTTACCTTGAAATCCTTAGGAAAGGGAGACCCCAGAAGAGAGAAGGACCAGGAGATTCAAGAGGAACCAGTGGACTCCATCTCTAGGCACAGATGCAACCGAGAGGCAGGGCAGCAGGGCTGAGGGCAGACTTGGAGGCGGGAGCAGAAGGCCACTTTCCCAGGATGTAGTCCCAGCTCTCAGCAGTGATGGGGCTGGGGCTTACCTTCGGTAGGCTGACTGGAGTCCTGGGTTTGGTCCTTGGGTTCTTAATCAGTAGCCTCTGGTCCAGAGGGAGCAGGTGGTATTTCATTGCCTCAATGAGGAAGTCCTTACAGGTGTTGTTATTCTTTATCAACGCTTCTTCTTCCACGGTCTGGAGGTAATAACCCATAGGTGATCCTGCAGCAGGGCTAGGCCACATCTCCCAAGCTCCCTCCCTGGCCTAAGAACTGCCTGCACTCCCTCATTCATTCATTTCCACACCATATCATCTCAGACCCAAGAAAAAGATCCACAGAGATATAACTTAGTGCCCACTGCCCACATTACAGGAGCACAACGGGGCAAGCGGTCAGGCTCTGGCATCACACAGGGATTGAAATCCCAGCTCCACCACTTAACATCTCTGATCCATAAAATGTATATATTACAGGTATCTACAACCTCACTAGTTTTGTTTGTTAATATTTATTTATCTATTTATTTATTTCAATGGCAGAGTGACAGAGAGATAGAGAGAGAGAGATGAGAGAAAAAGCTTCTATCTGCTGGTTCACTCCCCAAAAGACCACAATGGGCAAGGATGGCCCAGGCCAAAGCCAGGAGCCCCAGAACTCCATTGGGGTCTCCAACATGGATTGCAGGGATCCAAGCACTTGGGCCATCTTCCATTGCCTTCCCAAGTGCATAATCAGGGAGCTAGATCACAAGCAGAGCAGCTGGGACTCTAACTGGTGCTTTGATACGGGATGACAAGGTCACAAGTGGCAGCTTAATCAGCTGTGCCACAACACGGCCCCTGTTTGGTTTTGAGGATTAAGGGAGTCTATGCAAAGCAAATGACAAATAGTTGTCCTGAAAGCCTCTCCACTCATTCCTTCTGGTTTGAATGCTCTGTGACATTTAGGGGAAATGGCCAGAGAGCTGGGAGGAAAGAGGGAGGGAAAGAGGAAAGGAGGCGGGATCCATCAGCTAAACTTTGGAGGCACTGAATACGAAACACCGCAGTCAAAAGGAAGGATTCACATCCCTCATCTTGCAGGGTCAGGGCAGGAGGCTGGCTGATGAGGCCCTCTCCGACAGGATGATAACAGCAGAGCAGGAAGAGCGGCCTGCGGACCTTACCTAAGCTCAGACTCTGGCATCTTCACCTCGTATGCCACGGCTCAGGGCCCAGGAGGGTGCTCAGCAAATGGAAGCGTAAATGTTTTGTGAGCAAGACTAAGGGTGAAGCCATTCTGGCTCTCCTATCCCACGCCAGCCCAGGTCAGCCCACCAGGTGGCGTGTGTGGAATGGGTAGTGTGGTCTTCCCAGGTCAGCTGGCCTTGGGAAAGATGAATTCCATCAACAGCTAAAACCAATGGATTGTCTGCAGGTCAGTCAGTTCATGCGGGCCCCTCAGGAGCACGGGACCAGGTAGAGAACAAGACAGGCTCCCACCTCAACTGTCTCAGCCCTCAAGCTAGCCATGCAAAAGGCCTACCTCAGTCTCCCTGGGGAACCCCCTCTGTCTCTAGGAACAGAAACATGGCCAGGGACGTCACGAGCCAGGCAGCACTGGGGCTAGCAGGAAAAGAAGGATTGGCAGGGCCAGGCTGCTTCCCCCTCTAAGCGCCCCCTTCCCCAGGAACACTGTTTCCTTGGTAGGTACTGATTACCCTCGCACCAGGGGAATGAAATGGGTTGGGACAAATCATCAACTTTTAGGGTCTTTTAAGGTGTGAGAGAGTCTCAGTATGAGCTTGGGAAGACGCATAATGCATAAGCTCCCCAGACAGCTAGCGCTGCACAGGAACACAGCTGCAGTCGGCGTGATGACGATGACCCGAAGCGGGCAGGGAGCTTGGCTGGCAGCATGGGGAATGTAACGTGCCTCTGCGCCACTGCACACTCAAGGACAGTTGAAATGACAGTGTTTGTGGGATCTATATTTTATCATGTCCATGCTATACATTTAATACGGCCTTCTATTTTTAAATATTTCTTTGTGTTCATCTACTTGAATGGCACAGCAACAGACAAAGGGAGACAGAAACAGAGAGAAAAAGATCTTTCATCTACTGGTTTATTCCCTAAATGCCTGCAACAGCCAGGGTTGGGCCAGTCCAAAGTCAGGAGCCAGGAACTCCATCCAGGCCTCCCATGTGGGTGGCAAGGGCCTAAGCACTTAAGCCATCATCTGCTGCCTCCCAGGATGGTAAGCAGGATGCTCAGTAAAACCTGATAAATACTAGCTATTCTAAAAGGGGAACAATCTGCCCCAGAGGTCAGGCCGTGTGGATTCCCCTCCCCCACTGTCAACCACGCCCAGCAGGTTACACTACTTTGGAGGTTCAAGGTCAAATGAAACATCCTCTTCCATTAGTGTTCACCTCCCAAAGCCCAAGAAAAGCCCTTTTAAAAAGAAGTGTCCCACACTAAAGTTCTCAAACCCATTACCCTTAACTGCCTTCATTTCTAACCCTACTTTTCTGTAATAGCCCAACAACCATTTCCTGATGTATGTTACATTTCAGTTTGTGGCCACCTGATGGTGTTAGGGACCACTAGATGGAGGTTATGACCACAGGTCTAAAGGTCCTTTTAACTTTCTCTGGAACCCAGATGCCAGGCTGCCTACCCTCCCTGTGGAAGGGAGACACCCACCTCCACTTTCAGTCTTACCCATGGGACAGGGGGTCAACTCTGACCCTAGGCACTCAGGCAGGCTCAGTCCATCTGCTTAGGAGACCCCTTTTACAGGAAGGATAGGCTACCACCAGGGGGCAGTGGTACCATTGGATGGTACCACCTAGAGGACTGAGGGAGGCACAGAGATTCCGAGATCATCTCGCTGACTTCTTAGACCTATGGACAACAGAGCCACAAGCAAAGGACTTGACCCATATTCAGGAGGACACCAGGGTACCTGCTGCTTGCAGTCATGGTAGTATCTGCAAAGACAGCAGGAACATCAGCCAACAATCACTGAACGGGGGGCCGGCAATGCAGCGCAGCAGGTTAAAGCAGCGGCCTGCCTACAGCACTGGCATTCCATATGGGCACTGGTTTGAGTCCTGGCTGCTCCACCTCCAATACAGCTCTCTGCTGTGGCCTGGGAAAGCAGTAAAAGATGGTCTAAGTCCTTAGGCCCCTGCACCCGCGTGGGAGACCCAGAAGAAGCTCCTGGCTCCTGGCTTCGGATCAGCTCAGCTCTGGCCGTTGTGGTCATTTGGGGAGTGAATCAGCAGATGGAAGACTTCTGTCTCTCTGTCTCTCTTCTCTGGCTCTCCTCTCTGGCTCTACCTCGCTCTGTAACTCTGTCTTTCAAATAAATCTCTAAAAAAAAAAAAATCATTGAACAGTGCTACAGGCTTTCTGTGGATGCAGACAATCCTGTTTTCACCTGATGAGAAAGCTGAGGTTTGACAAAATTTCCCACGTGCCAGTGCCCATGGCTGGGCCTTCCCTTCTTTCCCAAGATGTCTCAGGGACAGCTGCAAGAGCTAACTGCCTCATGTTCTGTTTTATTCATGAATTTCAACGGTTATCCTCTAACCCCATGTGGGCATGTCTACTGCCACTTACTGTACCAAGTAAGTCAGGTAACGGTAAAGAGGACAGAGAGGTAGCTGTCCTTTCAGCTGTGGACACCTGTAGAAGTGTGTGTTTCAGAGCCATCCTGACCTGGGTTTGAATCCCAACCATCACTTCTACTGGCTGGTGACCCCAGACACATCCCTACCTCCAAAAGCTCCAAGGCCCAGTAAAAGTACTTCATAATTCTAAATTTTTTCTTTCCTTTCTTGGAGGAAACAGAAACAATATGGATTCTGGATACCTGGTAGGAAGTGATTTTTACAGTCCTGATTTGGGCTTCAAGTTGCCCAAAACTAAGGTAAAAAGGTAACACAGAAACATGGAAATGACCCCTGGAGTAAAAGCAGTTAGCTTTTTTATTGAACAGGTGTTAATGCCAGTCTCTGCACTGAACAACTGACCAGTTGTAACCCCTTCAGCCTCCAGAACAACCCTGCTGTGCTCTATTATATCTGTTCTATGCAACAAGAAATGGACCTGAAGAGCTTCAATAAAAATGCAAAACCAGGGGCTGGCGCTGTGGCACAGTGAGTTAATCCTCCACCTGCGGTGCCGGCATCCCATATGGGCACCGGTTCTAGTCCCAGCTGCCCCTCTTCTGATCCAGCACTATACTGTGGCCTGGGAAAAGCAATGGAGGATGGCCCAAGTGCTTGGGCCCCTGCACCTGCATGGGAGACCGGGAAGAAGCTCCAGGCTCCTGGCTTCGGATCAGCACAGCTCTGCCCATTGCAGCCATTTGAGGAGTGAACCAGCAGATGGAAGACCTTTCTCTCTGTCTCTCCCTCTCTCTGTCTGTGACTCTACCTCTCAAACAAATAAATAAAATCTTTTAAAAAAATGCAATGCCAGTAAGTAGTAGAGAAGGGTCTAAAATCTAACTATCTTATTGGCAAACCCATTAGAATCCTCTGAGGTGGGCATTTGGCCCACAACTAAGACACCCATTTTCCATATTAGAATACCTGGGTTCAGGTTCCAGCTCCAATCCCAATTTCAGTTTCCCACTAATATATACCCTGGGAGGCAGTGGGGATGGCTCAAGCAGTTGGGTTCCTGCTACCCACATGGGAAACTTAGACTAAGTTACAGGCCCAGAACCTGTGGTCTCTCAGTATCTCTCATTCTCTCTCTCCCTCTCCCTCCCTCCTGTTCTCTCCACACCCTGCCCCCAGCATCTCTCTGCCTCTCATATTATAAAAATCTAAAAAATTCATCCTCAACCATCCCATACAACCAGGGTTCCCACTGCTGTTCCTAGAGGTCTGGGTAAACAAGAAATCGCTCACCTGGACCAGGTAATCCCTAGGTAAGAGAGGGAGCCGGACATGTTCCATCAGCTTTGCCATGTGCTCTAAACGTGTTTCTTTCTCATAATTGATCCACGAAATCACAGCCTCAAACACCTATGAAGAGAAACAACAAAGGTATCTTCAGCAAAGAGACAACAGTTTTCAAACAACCTTCTCAATCTGAAAAGACAAAAAAAGTTACAAGTGATCCACAAAGGCAATTAACCTAAGATTCAAAATTTAAAATACAACAAAAACAGAAACCAGCATTTACTAGCTGGCCTCAGACTGGTCTCTTTCTCTGTCTCTCTCTCTGTCTGTCTCTCGCTCTCTCTCACCCTCCCTCCCTCCCTCTCTCTCTGTCTCTGTCTCTCTCTCTCTCTCACACACACACACACACACACACAGTATAACAAAGCCAAGGTTCAGTCTAACATAAAAAATCAGTTCCAATAGTTATTTGAGAATAGAATGCAGAGCAGAAACTGTGAAACTAATTTGCAAGGACTGCTCAAGAGGATCAGAAGCCCTGGGAGCAATGTCATTCTGTCCCCCAAACCCCTTTCCTCATCTGTCCCCCATGACAGTTAATGAAGAATAAAAACAGGAAGAATGCCCTTTGCCTAAAGCTGGCTCTGATGGTAAATGTGACACTGAATGACAGAGAAGTGTAAAAATTTCTCCTTGGATTTAACCTCTCTTTTGAAGAGAAATTGCACTTCTATGTAAAATAAAAACTGGAGGAACTCAAAGGAGGATCTGTGGTTTGGATATTGGCTTTGCTCAGGGATAAGGTGAAGTTCAAACTCTGTACCACCATATACACACAGATTCAAGTCACTGTTGGTGAGGTTGTGGGGAAACTAACAATGTCAGTGGAAACTTAATTAGTACAGTTTCTTAAGAGGGGAGGGAAGAATTTGGTAATATCAAACAGAAATTTAAATGTGCATACTCTGACCTAGAAATACCACTTCTAGAGCTTGAGCCTACAAAAATACTCACTTCACTGTGCGAGATGTTTGCTGCAACACTATTGTAACAAGATAAACACCAAAGAACCTGAAGCCCACTTGTGGAGAAATTATGAAGATAGCGTCCATGCCCTTGGATATTTTCATCTTAAAAACAACAAAGAAAACACCTTGCTGTACCAAAGAATGAAGGTGCTCACAGATCAAGAATGACATCATTGGGACACACAGCCAGCTGGATGGGGCTTTCTTTGCCCATTCATGGGTACTTCAAAAAGTTCGTAGAAAAATGAAATGAAGAGTATGAATTTATTTGGGTCCAAAATTTTAAAAGCTAAACATGGATTTTAAAATTGTTCTTACACCAAAGTAAACTCATCCTTTAATTTCATGTTTTCAGAAATTTTCTGAAGTACCCTCATATGTGAGGCAGTTTAAATATCAACGAGAATAATGAAGAAATGAGACCAGCACTGCTTCAGGGTAAGACAGGGTCAGGGAATGACCAGAAGTGGTGCAGAGGAAACTTCTCATCAAAATACGTGTGTTCTTGAAAGGGTGGCATGTGTATGCCACCGTGCATACACATCTGTCAACGTTAATCAAACTGTATACTTAACATCTGTACATTTCACTACATGTAAACTGAATCTCAGTATACAGTATTCATAGTTTTAAAAAAGATAATAATGTAGGCTGGCACTGTGGCATAGTAGATAAGGCTGCCATATGTGGCCCTGGCATCCCATATGGGCACGGGCTCCTGGTTGCTCCATCAAAGAAAGTGGCCCAAGTACATGGATCCCTGCACCCAAGTGAGAGACCCAAGAGACGTTCCTGTCTCCCAGCTCTGCTCTAGCACAGCTCCAGTTGTTACGGCCATTTTGGGAGTGAATGAGCAGATGGAATCTCTCTCTCTCTCTGTATCTGTCTCTGTCTCTCTCTCTCTAACTCTGCCTTTCAAATAATTAAATCTTTAAAAAAAAATAATGAATGACAATGTAATAAAAAAAAACAGAACCTATGGGTCCACAGGAAGACTTTAAAAATTGTATGAAGGGCTCTTCTTTTTAAAAAAATGGCAGATAATAAATATAGAAGGTAGGGTGAACAACAGAGTAAGCTGTTGCTTCAGAGGCCAAACCTTACCATTCCTTATTAAAGTGCCTGGGATTGAGTCTCCTCTCTGTTTCTGATTCCGTTTCCTGCTAATGTGTCCTGGAGGTAGCAGATAATGGCCCAAGTACTTGGGTTCCTGCTACTCATGAGGGAGGCCTCCATGGAGTTCCTGTTTCCTGGCTTCAACATGGCCCAGCTCTGTCTGTTATGGGCATCTAGAAAGTGAACCAGCAACAAAAGAACTTTCTCTCTCTCTTCTCTTCTTCCCTCTCTGTCACTCTGCTTTACAAATAAATAAATAAATAATCTTTTTTAAAACAATCAAAAATAAAATAAATGTAGACAGAACTTTAAAAACACTACTTTGGAATCACAGATGCACTGACTGATTCAGCAAGGATCATCAGCGGATGCTCAAACTGAAAGAAGACACAGTCCTCAAGGTGCCAGCCCACAGCGTGCATATCATCTACAGACACCTCCTTACACAAGGGTCAACTCTGAAGCCACCAACAGCAGAACAAACTTACACTGCTTCCCTGATTGCCATACAGTGGGAAGAACATGGCATCCCCCACACAGTATCCTTCCTAAAATTCAACTTCAAATTAACTTGAATTTTACAGTGAGGAAACAATCAGGGACACTCCATGAGATAGCCAGACTGGATTCTTCAGAACTGTCAGTATTATGTAAGATTAAAAGGAAAAAGAATCAGAGAGACAGTTCAACAGCTCTAGATTAAGGGGATTCAGAGACATGACAACTAAATGCAGTGCATAAATCTTGATTGGATTATGGCCTAGAAAGAAACCATTAAAAAGGATTTGGGGAAACTGTCAGGAAAATTTGAGTCCTGACTATACATTAGATAATACTGCTATTTCTTTGCTAAATTTCTTTGGTGTAATGTTAGATTTATGGCTAGAAAAGACAATTTTCTTGTTCTTAGGAGGCACATACTAAAATACTTAAGGGCAAAATATCATAATGCCTATAATTTACTGTTCAGTGCCTCAGCAAAATGAAGGATTAAATCTCTAGGGATTTGGAGGGGAGGATGTTTTCCCCAACAGTTAAGATACAACTTGGGGGCCAGAGTGTGGCATAGTGGGTAGAGCTGACACGTGCTACACCAGCAGCCTGTGTGGGCACTGGTGTGAGCCCTGGCTGCTCCACTTCCAAACCAGTTCATTGATAATGAACTTGCAAAAGCAGGGAAGATGGCCCAAATCCCTGGGCCCCTCCGCTCATGTGAGAGACCTGAAAAAGCTTCTGGCTCCTGGCTTCGGCCTGAACCAACCCTGGCTGCTGTTGCCACCTGGGGAGTGAACCAGCGGATGGAACATCTGTCTCTCCTTTTCTCTCTGTAACTCTGCCTTTCAAATTAGTAAATAAATCTTAAAAAAAAAAAAAAAAGGTAAACTTAAGGTTTATTCAGGTGAGAATATGAATGATCTAGGCCCAGGAGACAAAGACCAAGGACTTTAATGACTCTTGGGAAGGGTTCCAAAGTCATCAAATCCTACTCAGAATTTATATAATCCATAACAGTAAATGTTCAGTTATCATTAAACAGTGAACATATGTTGGCTTGGCCCTAAAAGGGAGCCTTTAGGTAAGCAGAGACAAATTTCCCACAGGTTGAAGATGACTTTCTTTAGAATACAACTGGTTGGGGACTTGTGACATAGTGGATATATCCACCACCTGAGACGCTGGCATCCCCTAGGGGTGCCAGCTAGTCCTGGCTGCTCCACTTCTGATACAGATCCATGCTAATGTGCATGGGAAAGCAGCAGAGAATGGTCCAAGTACTTGAGAGACCTTGAAGAGGCAGACCTAGAAGAAGCTCTTAGCTCCTGGCTTTGGACCCACCCATCTCTGGCCATTGCGGACATTTAGGAAGTGAACCAGAGGATGGAAGATCTCTGTCTGTGTGTCTCTCCCTCCCTCTCTCTCTGTAACTCTGTCTTTCAAATAAATAAAGAAATCTTTTTAAAAAGAGAGAGAGAGAGAGAGATACCATTTAGGACACCACATTCCTTACTTGAGTGCCTACATTTGAGTCCTGGCTCTGCTCCCAGTTCCAGCTTCCTGCTAATGTGCACCTTGTGAGGTTGCAGGAGATGCCTCAAGTACTTGGATCCCTGCCACCCACATGGGAGACCCAGACTGAGTTCTGGGGTCCTATCTTCAGCCTGGCCCAGCCCCAGCTGTTACCAGCATTTGGGGAGTAGATCAGTGAATGCGACATCTCTCAGACAGACAGATATTTGTCTGTCTTTCACTGTCTCCACCTTTCAAATTAATTTTAAATTTTTTAAAAGATTTACTTATTTGAAAGCCAGAGTTACACAGAGGCAGAAGGAGAGGCAGAGAGAGAGAGGTCACTCCCCAATTGGCGGCAACGGCCGGAGCTGCACCGATCCAAAGCTAGGAGCCAGGAGCTTCTTCCGGACTTGCGCCATCCTCCACTGCTTTCCTAGGCCATAGCAGAGAGCTAGATGGCAAATGGAGCAGCCAGGCCTCGAACCGGTGCCCATATGGGATGCCGGCACTGCAGGCAACAGCTTTACCCGCTATGCCACACCGCTGGCCCCAGTTTTTTAATCTTTAAGGAGATAGATAAATGAAGCAAAATATTAACTAGTGGATCTAAGAGTATGCATATTCATTCTTTCAAATTTTACTATAGACTTGAAATTTTCAAAATAAAAGTGGAAGGGAGAAGAAAAGAAATTATAACGGAAAAGGAAACAAGCAACAACATTAACAACATCACATTAAGTTGAAATCACAGCTTTCCCTGCCAGGAGAGGGGAAAACACTCTGTTTTCTTTCTGTATTGATATATTAACAATGCATTACACTTAAAATACTTGGCCCTATTTCCTAAATATATACTTAAGTCAGGCTGGGCATAACTTGAATTGGGCAAGGAACCAGTCTGAGAATAAAGAGAAGAGACAGGAAAGAAGCAGAGCAGGAGAGGGGCAGTGTGCCTGCAGAGTCTGTTCC